TCAGGAGACCTGGTCTCCTGGCATTGACTTTCTGCCATCCTGCCTTGAGCTATGGACCTCATGGAAAGCACAGGTTTGCCTTCTCCAGACTGATCCCTTCCACAAAGCCCCCGAGTCATCATCTCTTCTTTTTGGGGCACAGAAACTGGCCAGGCTAACGGGACCTCTAAGTGTACAGTAACGTCACAGACAACTGCTTCCTCTCCCCCACAATGGCTAATTGCCAGAAAAATGCTCTTACCCCCCAGAGAAGCCATCCAAATAACTTTGACCTCTGCGATTTCAAAGAAAGTGTTCAGGATCTGTTTTCTAATTTCCCCCAAGCAGTCCCTGCACCGTTGAAGGATCGTGGTTAAGGGAATTCCACAAAATTTGCTTTTGCAGCTGCTGGAAAAATGCAGTAGGGAGGCTGCCTGAATTCAGCCTACTCTGCGACTGACTCAATCATCAGTACACACAGCTAACCAAATCACTGCTTGGGGCTCTGCTGCTCCCTGCGATGCGACTGGGAAGACTCATTTGCAATCACCATCAACCAGAAAAGCCACGCAACTGCTCCAAGCCCCTGCAGCCTGCAAGAATCGAAGAATATCCCAGGGCTGGCAGGGCTCCTGAAGGCCACCAGCTTCAGGACTCCCTGGGACCCTCTTCGCGTCTCTTCCCTGATACTAATGAACAGGGAAGTGACTCCAGACTGGGCCACCTTGAAAGAAGACTAGGAGTGGACTCCCAGAGGGGCCTGTGTGGATAAGAACCAAAGCCCTTCACCTGCTGTGAAATAGCTATTCTTGCTGAACACTGCAAAGGCGACCTTTAAATCTCTGAGAACAATGCTCAGATCTTTAGCTCTCACTCAGCCACCTGCTGTGCTGTGTCAAGCAGAGTTAGCCAGCGTGTTCCCCCTAGGCGGCTGGGATTTCCAAAGATTAGCACAGGAATGACAGAGGCTGGTGGGGTTTTGCCAAGCATCACACAGCTCTCTTCTCAGCTCTCTCTCTTCTGATGGCTTTACCACCTCTGCTTCCTCCTCTCCTCTCCATGGCTACCCTCCTGCCCAAACCCACCTGCACCAAACACATTTGCTCCTAAGCTGCTGTTAGGATGATAAGGGCACAGTGCTTCATGATAAAGTCCAGAAATGCCCCAGTTTTAGATTTGGGTCCTGCAGGCACTACAATGAAAGCCATTATTGTCCCATTTACCCCTCCCACCCAGCGTGTGCATGTGCACCCTTGTGTTCATGTGTGCGAGTGCATGCATGTTTCCATTTGTCAATTCAGGACTAATGTGTTACAACCGAGACCTAAGGACACTTGGGCTCCTAGTTCCAGATGCAGAGGAGTGTGTGTGTGTGTGTGTGTGTGTGTGTGTGGCAGAGGGTGTCTCAGGGTTGGCACTGGGTGGAGGGATCCACAAGGGCCTTTGGAATTTTTGCTGAAGTGTTTTTTTGGCTAGTCTTCCACAAACATGCTTAGCCAAGGCCATGGTTAAGAGCAGGACATCACTCCTCCAACCTCATTTCGCTGCTTTGAGGGCTAACCAACTTCAGAGAGAGCCTGGCCTGCCCTGCTGGGGCAGCTTCGGTGCAGGGTCTGGGCGTCCCACCCTCCGAAGGGCACCTATACAAGCCAGGTGGCCCAGGACAGGGCACTGCAGAACCACTGAGTGCCAAGTGGGACAGGAGCCAGGCGACAAAGGGCTTTCTTGGTTTGGAACTAAGCTAGGGCAACTGGAGAAAGGAAGAACCCTCACCACTGCCCCCTGCAGCCTGTAGGCCACATTGCAATCACCTCTGTGAATGAAGGAGCGCAGGGAAGCTGCCAAGAAAGCTGTTTTCCCAGGAGTCACCTTCCATGGGATGAGAAGAGTGCTTTCTCTCTCTCTCTCTCTCTCTCTCTCTCTCTCTCTCTCTGTATGTGTGTGTGCACACTAGGAACCATCCCCACAAACAGGACAAACACATACAGGGAACCACCGAGTCTCATTTGCATTCCACAGTGTGGCACTCGCTTGATGCTTAAAGTCTCTTGCATTCAAGACCAGCTATGCCAAATGGCCTTTTTAATTACAGAACACTTGAGGAGTGTTCTGGCTTTAAGCAGAGTAACTGCAGTCCCCCGAAAGGCTCTGCCTTCCATCTACCAGGAGAGGTATCAGCGTGATTGGAGGAATCCCAGGTTACTGAATAATCACCATAATAAGATTGAGAATGAAGGTGACCTATAGAGGCTTGGTAAACACATGACTTTCTCTGCGCAGTAAGTGAATTTTGATTATAACTCAGTCCTTGCCTCAAGTCCTGAAGTGGTGGTTGGATTCTTAGGAAAAGCCTGGAAAGGACAAAGTGTAAAAAGGAAACACACAGGCCTTCCTAGCCCTCTTTGTAGCTATCTTCAACCTGGCAATGGAAAGCAGTCTCTCTGTGTTCGGTCCCCACTGAGTCTGCCAGGCTGTCACACAAAGTGTGGGTGATCACCACAGATCAATAGCTACTCTGGGTGGCCACTGCCACAAGATTCTTTAAAAAGACTATTTTTTCTGCCTCCAACAACCAAAGCTTATTATGTGTACTTTCAGTTTATTTTTGGAAATGGATGTTTAGAAAGAGAACTTGGTCTTGACCTTTCACGCACTTCTTAATGTAAGCAGTAGGGTAGTGATGCTTCTAAAAAGCTGCTCCTTTAAAGGAGCAGTGCAGTGGTTATTATCACTCAGGTTTCAGATGTGGGTAAACCTTGCTCCATGGGCCATCTGGACCAGGGCCCTTGGGAAGATCCTCACAGAGGCACCCTGGGGTGCAGGGGTCTCTCCCCGCTTGGGGCAGTCCTCTGAATACTGTTCCCAACTCCATGTTCTGGTGGCAGTAGCAGCCTTCCCCTTGCTGTGTTTACCTGTAATGAGCAAAGGCTCCAAATGGTATTGCCGCTTTTGTAACAGAAAATAAAAAACTAAGTAAGATTGCATGTGACAAGGTGAGCCATGGAAAATGGGCTGTCTGTGTGTGTGTCACCAGATTTTTATGTTGCTGCCCTTATTATTTTTAAGTTGCCTGAAGGCCTTAAGTGACAACTTTGGAAGTTCCTATCAAAAGCCTAGAAGTCATCTGGAAAAGCATGCATTGTGTTTTGTAAGAGAGTGTGAGAAAGCACACCCATTTCTAGCATCTCTGGTTGGCCTTACAAAGCTGGGGAAGAAGCAGGATGGGTCCTTTTCAGCCCGTGCAGAGGCTGGATAAGGCAAAGAGAGGTTGGGTACCAGACCACGCAGTGAGTGCCCTTGGGGTCACTGGTCAACCCAGATGGCTCGCTCACCCCACACCATGACCTTAGCACCCTTCTCTTCCCACCACTGGCAGCAGTCAATGAACCATATAAATCCAAATTTCGGAAATGCTAAATCTGGTGAACAGCTTCTGAAAGTATTAAAATGCAAAACAGGAGTAAACAAAAAATTTCTCGCCACGGGGAAACTTACTAATGTGAAGTGACAAAATAATGGGAGTTTGAACGCAGTCTCAAAAGTGGTTCTAAAATGGAATTCAGAATTATATTTTAATATGCATACTATGCACTTGCTTTGCCAGGAATGGCTGAGAGTGAATTATCATTTATAAAATGAAGCCACGGAGGGAAGGAGTGGAACAACAGGGAAGCATAGGGAATGGCAGGCATGAGTGTGACTGTGTGAATGTGTGTGTATTCATCCCAGTCTGGGGGCCGCTGGTTCCTAAATCAGGTGCACCAGGGCTGTCCAACAACAGCCTTCATGGGTAACTCCCCTCAGGGCTGACCCTGGTTTATGATCCCTGGAGCTCCGGGCAGCTGTTCCTTCCAGGGACTCCCAGAAAAGGGCAGGTAGGGGACACCCCTGTGTGGCACCAGTTGAGAACAGACAAGGTAGAGATTTATAAAGTGAGGAGCAACAAGCTCTTCTTGTCCAACAACAATGCTCAAAGTGAGTGGCACACCGTCCTCTCAGGCAATTCCCAACACATCCACCTTTGATTTTGTGACCCAGCAAGGTAGCACTGAGAGTTTTCCATTTAGGGAGTTTGGCTACTCAATCTTCCTCTCCTGGCCTCCCCCCATCCCCACCCTCATTCCTCCAGCCGAGGGCTCTACATTAATTTCCCCAGTCTTGGAGGCCAAGATAACTCGGAGCTAGTTCCTCTTGGAGCTGCTCCCCTAGAGGGAAGTGACCTAAAGGCACCAACGCAGTGGGGCCAGGCAGCTCAGCTGCAGCAGCTTTCAGGGCTCCAGGCAACCCCTGGCTCTGCTTCTAATGACAGAAGCCGGGTCCTCCTCCCGCGGGTGTCCTCAAGCGTCAGGTGTGTGGCTAGCTGGCAGGAAGGAAACCAGCCAAACTCCTCTCTAGACAACCCACGCGCTGGGCTGGGGGCAAGAACACGCACTTTGCAGAAGGCAGTCCCTTGTCAACTCCCAGGTGCCTGGGGATGCCTCCATGCTGGGTCACCCTACAGCTAGCTACCTTGGGGGCCGGAGTGTGGGGCAGTCAAAAAGGGCTTGCAAACATCCCAGGACTCCTCCACCTTTCCCAACACCTGGGACAGATAGCAATATGGGTTAACTTTGAAAATCCCGTCTCCTGAGCACCTGCTCATAGCCGCTGGGAGAGACACCTCTTTCCACCTCCCCACCCACAACACACCACGGACTCAGGATGACCTCGGCGGTTGGTGCGGACAGGGAAAGGGGCAACAGGAAGTCATGACTCCAGTTTCGCTTGCTGGTCAGGGCGGGCGACAACATGCTGTAGCTAAAAGCGCCAAGCCACCTCGGGAGCAAGAACCAGAGGAGGTAAAGCCGGGTTGCTGCCCGTGCTGGTGAAGGGGCTTTTCAACGAGCCCGCCCCTGGCATCTGCTAGAGGGAAGGATAAGGATACTTCCTCCCCACCAACCCCGCCCCCGAAGGGGCAATAACCACCCTGAACCGAACCTGGGGGGAGGGCGATGTGAGGGATAGAGAGCGCGGCCACTCACCTTTAGGTTGTGCGTGGGATTGACAACGCAGACAAGTTGCCCAGCTGCGGAGAAAACCCGCTTCGCTTTGTACTGCTGAAATCGGAGGTGAATAAGATCTAACACAGCCCCAAAGCACTGGGTGAAGAAAAGCATCCCAACTTTTGAGGAGGGGGTTGTTGTTGGCCCGGGAGAACAGAGCAGGGCGCTCCTAAGTCCTGGGGCTCTGGAAGGAGCGCAGCCTCCTAGACACTCTGCTCCTGCCCGGCTCAGCGTGCCTTCATATTCATCATCAAAATAAGACGGTTGGAATCTTGCAGCAGCGAGGCAGCCAATCAAAAGGACAGGAATGTTATCCTTGAGGTGCAGAGACAGCCAATAACGAATGCCTCGCTTACCGAAACTCCCTGATGAATTGAGCCTGGTGGAGAATGTATTATTGAACATTACCATAGATCAGCACATTGCATTTATCTTGTGATTACAGCCAACCATACATAATGCTGGGGAGATAGGCTGACAAAATTGATTGCTTAATGTGTCTCCATTTATTAATTGACTTAATTTAACATGAGAGCTTTTCTTCGTGCCTTAGCCAAAAAAAAAAAAAAAAAAATCCAAACGTTTAAACCGCTAAATACTAAAGCACCCTGCTCCAAAACAGGCAGATGGATAACGCAGATCGTAGCTCACTCGCCAGAGCTGCTTGGGAGAAAATCAAAGATGACATGACTCTGATTCCAGATAAGGGCTTGGCAGCAGCAGCAGCAATGTGTATCTTTCAATCTTGCACTGACTCTCTGCAATTTGGATGGCAACCCTTGATAAATCTTATTCTCCACTCTTTAGCAAAGAAAACGCATTTGGAGGGGAGAGGGAAAATACATACATATATGTGTATTTAAATGACTTTCAAAATACTGTAATTACTGAAGTTGAAAGTATTAGAGCATAAAAATGTACAGAATATGCTTCTAAAAATAATACCATTTCTGATGCATGAATGCACACACACAGAAGAACCTACCCAGAGAGGAAAGTGGCTTGTAAATCATCAAAATAATTACCTATGCGCAGAACCTGGGCTTGTCATTTGTTTGCATATTGGTGAGCAGCAAATTGCTAATTAACCACTAAATTGTTGGAGACATGAAAATAGAGATGAAAAACGCACAGAGCACATAACGGACTTGTTTCTCCCCAGCGCTAGGAACACATTTCCATGCTGGAGCAGGCAGAGGGTGTCTCAGTTCTCTCCAAAGCCTTCCCTCCCAGGACAGTGCAGGGGGAAATGGCTAAGGCCACTTGCAGAGGTTAAAGACTTCCAAGCAGTAACAGGCTCTAGTGTTTCACAGCGTGGTTTATTGAATCATTGTGGTTAAAGTGGGAGAGTTGAGTGTGTTGATTTCCATCTTTGGCTGTTTTTGCTATTGCGAGGTCAGCCCAACTCCGATGCTACCTGGGGCAGAAAGCCTGTGGAAACTCAGCATGAACCTATTACTCTTTGCTAACTGGCTGTCACTTGGGTCTGGCTACAGTACGTGAGTTGTAGCAGATGCAAAGCACCTGTGCCTGGGGTGCCCTTGCTTGTGACCTGGTCAGGCCCTTAAACTAGCAACAAATCAAAATACAGGAGGAAACTCACAAGTTTACTGACATCAGAACATAGTCTAGGTTGTTTGAATGAAGTGAAAGCTAAGGCAGTGTTTTAGGGGACAAGCTGAATACCCAATCAAATTGAAATTTTGTATGTTACAAGACAATTGCACTGGCATCAAACTAAATGACAATACCAAAACTGATAAAATCCCAACAATGTTACATTTCTATAGGATGGGAATCCCTAGGCTCCCTTGTCATATGATTTGTAAATAAAGCTTGATAACTCATACTGCTGGAGTTTACTTTCTAAAGTTTGCGTTGTCTGGAGTAATCTTTGGCAATTTAGCAGGAAAGAATTTGTTGTCTTTTTGTTCTCTTTATATATATATATACACACATTTTTACATACAGATGTACATATATGGGCAGACACAGCCATTGATTCTTTAAGCATGTGTATAGATATATATGACAAAGCCTATGACTTGGTTTTCTAAGATAGAGAAATCAAGGATCTTTTTATTTTCATTTTTTACTGAAGACTTTTTTTTTAGTGCTCCAGTTTTGTAATGAACCTGAAGACATGGAGAGTTCTCATGTTCCCCCTGCCCCCACACATGCGCAGCCTTCCTTATCACCCACCTCTCCCTCCCCATCCAGAGTAGCCCACGGGTTGAAAATGGTAAACTTATCTGACACATCGTTACAATCCAGAGTCCATGGTTTATTTTTAATGTTTATTATTTATTTATTGGGAGGAGCTGGAGAGAGAAGGGTGAGAGATCTTGGATGTACAGGTTTACTTCTAAAATGCCAACAACGGACGGGGCAGGGCCAGGCTAAGGGCAGGAGCCCACTCGCAGGCTGAGTCGCCCTTCTGAGTGGCAGGGGCCCACGTACTAGAGGCATTGTCTCTGGCTTCCAGGGTGTGTATTAGCAGGGAGCTGAAATCAAAAGCAGAACTAAGACTTGAAGCTGGGACTCCACTATAGGATGTGGGTGTTCTGAGCAAAATCTTCCACACTGTTCCAAGTTCCTGCCCCGGTTTCATTCTTGACACGCACATTGCTGTGAGTTGGGACAAGCATAAAAGGACAGGTACGTGCCTCTGTAGACTCTTCCAGAAGAGTTTCACTGCCCTTAAAAATCCTCTGCACTCAGCTGATTCATCACTCCCTTCCCATGCTCTTGTGGCAACTACTTGCCTTGTTACTATCTGCAAGACCTTTTCCACAATGTTGTCCAGTAGGAATCACACGATTCAGTTGCATTAAGTTTCCCCCATGTCTTTTCATGGCTTGATATAACTTGTGTATGCGTGCAATGAACAATATGCCTTTGCCTGGATAGAACAGCTTATCCATTCACCAAGCGAAGGACATCTTGATTGTCTGTACATTTTGACAATTATTAATGAAACTGTTACGAACAGACTTCTGTGTGGACATGTCTTTCAAGTCCTGTGAATAAATACCAATGAGTGGATGAGCAAGCTATGTTTAGTTTTGCACAAAACCGCCACATTGTCTTCTGAAGTGGCTGTGCCATTCTGTATTCCTACCAGCAGTGAATGAGAATTCCTCAGACTTGCCACCCTTTCCTGCCATCGTATTCTGCATGTGGGCAGAAGAGTATACAGTGGTATCTCACCATTGCCTTAATTTGCATGTCCCTGATAACACATATTGTACAGCATCTTTTTATATCTTTGATTGCCATCTGTATACTTTATTTGATGAGGTATCTGTTCAGGTCTCTAGCTCTTTTAAAACTTTTATGTTGAGTTTTAGGAGTTCTTTGATTGTTTCGTATAACCGTGTGTACCTGATGAGTCTTTTGGAAATATTTTCTCCTATTCTATAGCTTGTCTTCCCATTCTCTAGAACACATAGCAGAAGTTTTAAAATTTAGTGAAGCCCAGGTTAGCAAGTGTGTCTTTCAGGAATTGTGAGGTTGTGGTATCTAAAAATGTATCAGCCTACTCACAATGAGCTAGATCCTATGCTATCTTCCAGGAATTTCATACTTGTGTTTTGCATTTGATGTCTGTGATTCATTTTGAATTAACCATTGTGTAGGAAGTACTGTCGGTGTCTAAAAACATGTTTTGCAAGTGTATGAGTACATATTTCAACACCATTTATTGAGAAGACCGTATGCATCATTGTGTGGATCTGTGTCTGGGTTCTGTTGTGGACTTTGGCTTTATTTCTCATTGTCTCACCCATACGACACTGTCATGATTACTTTGTCTTTATAGCTGGTCTTGAAGTTAGGGATTGTCCGATCTCTGTCTTTGTTCTTCTCCTTTGCTATTGCCTTAGTTGTGCCTTTTACCTCTCTGTGTATACTTCAGAGGCAGTTCACCGATATCCAAAAATATCTTGCCAGGATTTTTATTGAGATTGCCTTGTATTTATATATCAAGAAGCTCAAGTAGAGAACTGATGTATTGGCAATAATGAGTCTTCCCGTCCATCAATAAGGGCTAGTGCTCCATTTATCTAGTTCTTTTTAAAATTTCTTTCATCAGATTTTTTGAGTTTTTCTCATATATATATGAAATACAAATATAGTTTTTATGCTTATACACATGTATTTCTTTTTGAATGGGGTGCTAATATAAATATTGTGGTTAATTTTGAGTTCTTAATTATTGCTGGTATGTTAGAAAGTGAGTTTTTTTGTTAAACATATATTTTGCAATTTTTCTATAATTACTCGTTCATCTCAAAAATTGTTTCGGTTATAATTATTAATTATCCTAGTTTTTTACATAGATGATCATACCATCTATAAACAAGAGATTTTTATTTCTTTTTTTCCCTATCATTATACTATTTATATCCTATTCTTGTCTTATTGTATTAGCTCAGACCTCCAGCACAATATTGAAAAGAGTGGTAAGAGAATATCCTTGCCTTGTTCCCAGTTTTAGTGGGAAAGCTTCTGGTTTCCTACCATTAAATATGGCACCAGTTGCAGGATTTTTGTAGATATTCTTTGAGAAATTGGGCGCAGTTTCTCTGTGTTTCTAGTTTATCAAGAGTTATTACAGAGGGGGCAGAGACTGCATGGTGATCCAACAGGCTAATCCTTCACCTGCAAGCATTGCCATCCCATATGGGCACCAGTTCACGTCCTGGCTGCTTCACTTCTGATCCAGCTCCCTGCCTGACTCCTGAAAGAAAAAAAAAAACGTGACTGATGGCCCAAGCCCTATGCCCATGCGAGAGACTGGAAGGACCTTCTGATTTCAGATTGGCTGAGTTCTAGCCATTGTGGCCATTTCAGGGAAAGGACCATTTGATGGAAGATCTTTCTCTTTGCTTCCCCTGCTCTCTGTAAAACTACTTTTCCAATAAAAACTTATAAAGTTATTACAAATGAGTGTTATGTAATATTAATTTTTTTCTATATCTATTGATACAGTCAAATGATTTTTCTTCAGTTTTTTTTCTGGGATAGACATTTTATTAATTTTCAAACATTGCATTCCTATCATAAGTACAATTACTTTCTTCCTCCTCTAACAACCAGATGGCTTAAGCTCACTGGAACTC